TTTAATCTGCTATCTATATACGAGATTCAGAGTAGAATGCATTCGTTCATTCGTCTTTAGTATAGCTTCTTGTTAAGGTTGGATTGAGTCGAGATGAAGAAAATGTATGTATATTGCATGTTACTAAGGGATCTCTCTTCAGTGAAATGATCTTCCGATGACCTCGCTCGCCGCCTGAAATACCCACGACCGTGACGGTCTTTCACCCTTTTCGGTTCTTTTCTCGCGATATTCCGAAGATCATCAGATATGCCTCCATATCATATTTTATATGCAAGTGTATATAAATATCCCATATGAATACTCGTCAGAAGTTGTTAAAAAAATAATAAAATAATTGTTGTTAAAAATAAATGATAAGATAGTAATTAACATAAATAAATAAAAAAACTTGTTAAAACTTATCTTCTTTGTTAGCAAACTTTATTAACTTAATTAATAAACTTGTTATTTTTTTATATTAAATAAAATAATTTAATTATTGAATGTATCTTCGATTTCCATTAGAAATAGAAATAAAATGAAAATCCATTTATAAATGTTATATTATCATGAACATGTTCTTCATTAAATCAGCTTGTCATATTTGCTTTGTATAACTGACACATTCGAGTATGTATATCATGCGCAGGACTTCGGCACGCATTATAAATGCTTCCGCGTCCTCTCCTCAAGAGAGGTCTTCTGAAAAGTCTTCTGAATATGATTCCTCGTAAAACAACGCTTCTCAATAAATCTATACAAATCGTGCGATGCGACATAAGATAATTGAATATCTCTTGTCTTCCTATCGCTTTCTCACGTTCGTGAGATTAAATCGCTGACATTTTCTCTCGCGCTGCGTGTTAATCTACAATGTTGAACCAACAGGAACGAATAACAATATCTTTTCACGTTGATTTTTTATCTGCAATGCGGATATTTAAATGCGATTGTTCTCGCGGCAATCGACAATTTCATTTCAGGTCAAGAAGTGGCGATCATAACGGTGGTCAAGACGGTCTACACTTTCCCCAGCATTGCGCAACGCAACTGCGGCACCTGACGTAATGTGAACCTGATTAAATAACAGGGAGTTATGAATCTTTCTTTTCATTTTCAGTCGAAAATTCAACTATGCGCGTTGTGACCCGTAAAACTAATATTTACGCATATAATGTCGGTAACATTCGATGTTTCGAAAATATCAAATCGTCATTTTTGATATCACTTGTGCGTATATCGTTAATTAAAATCGCTATAGTATAATTTTAATTCTGTATAAATATTAAACATCTTCGACAATTGCATTTAACCGATTTTCTTGAGTTTATCATTCATGCAAATTTTATGGAAGAGACCGGTCTGCTGTGAGAAAAATTAGGCTTAATAAATTTGCATCTTAAGAAAGAAGTGACGGAAAAGAAAATAAATGGAAAAATCAATTTGTCGATAAAATGCGCGCTAATGTCGATTAAATGACCGCCGAAGGGGATATTTCCCCGTCGTATTTTTTGTTGAGGCATTAATAATTACGCACACATGCAAGGACGTATCGATTACGGATATCGTGTGGATTTCCAGATGTATGTACAAAATTACACGGATTAACGTGTTTTGCGGAGGCTGCAATGGAAGAAGTTGCAACGAACATGATCGTCCACGGCTGACTGATTGGCAATAATACAATGGGAATTTTGTAAAGCGCGACTTCCGGTTGCGTATAAAGCCCGCTCAAACCCGAAGTTTATACGCCCCGCATTGAAATCGTCGCATAGTCGCATAGAATCACAGAAATCGCAATTTTGCAAGTCTGTTTTGTATAAATGTACATGTTTGTACATGTTGTTAAGATATTGAGAGATTCATAACTTATTTAAATTTGAGTATCAAAGCATAGCGGTCAGTTATTCGCAGATATTTTCGACAAATTTATTATTAATTCATTAATAACAATATCATTATTTATTAATATATAACCTTATATATATATATATATATATATATATATATATATATTAATTTATATTTAATTAATTGTCTTATTGTGATATGACATGTAATGATATATGTATGTAATAATGTATGCTTTAAGTGTATTATTAATCAGTAGATTTTTTTTTGTTACAGCTCCGTTTCTTATCGACTTGGTAATCAACGACGCTTGAAATATGCACAACCACCTGATTTAACATCTACTAACTCAAAATCATATCTGAGTCCAGCATTACAAACATTTTTACCAACTCAAAACGTCTCTGCACCACCAACTATTTTGAATCCATATGAATTAGAAGGATCAGTACAAGATAATAATTTTAATATACAGCAGACTAGTTCTTTACCCGAGCAACTTCCAACATCTGAACAACTATCGCGGAATAGCTCTCTCCATAGTTCATTTCGATCCAGTCCAGTTGCAACAGGAACAGCATATAATTTATCTGTAACGTCTACAAATCAAAATCCATTTTTTGAAAATTCTTCTGTATCGCAATCTGCTTTGTCAGCGTCTCGACAGATACCTTCACAAGTATTAGAGCCTGCAACGCCACAGAATACTCCAGCTAATGTTTCATTTTCCGACTTTTCTCCTTACGTAAATCGAGATCTTCTACCGACATCTAATTCAAACAAAGAAACACAGAACACTGCTGTGCCTAAGAATCCTAATCAGCTAAATTCTTCATTGGAATTTTCGAAAAATAGTGTCATCGAGACAACCGCGGAATCTGCATATAAGCCATCATTGATATCAACTATCGGGGAAACAGAAGCGACATTTACGCCAATATCAGCAGCCAAAGTGACGGAAAAATTAGAATATTTACTTGCAAAACAGCAGGGAAATTCTTCTTGCGTAGCATCCTCCGAAGCTTCTTCGGAAATTAGTGAAACTACGTCCAATGTCGCTGATATAACAAAATCCAATGTCGCTACTGATATAACAAAATCTTTTGAATTACAAAGCGATGCCTCAAAGGCTACGAATGAGTTAATCGATAAACCATACGAGACGAAGTCGGATTATCTACAAGGGAAAGCTGCTCAACCTGGAAGTGACACATGGAGTGACGTGTTTCTTGGGCAAGAGCCAGCGGCACAATCAGTGATCCGCCCGGAAATACACACTATTGATAACAGTCCGATAACGGATCTTCAAGCGGCTAAGTCAAACGTACATCCGCTTCAACAGCATTTCCAAGTGCAATCAATATCTATGCCAAGCTCTACTTTTTATACAGAGAAACCCGCAGAACAAAAATCGAGTTTAAACTACATACCGCCTGTCCAACAGCAAAATAATTTCTACAATCCACCAAAACTAGCAGAGCAGTCAGCAAATGTGTTCTTTGAATCCGTGAAACCAAATCAATTCCCGAATTTTTCATCGCAGGATAGAAATACAAAATCTTTGTTTGACCAATCAGTAGTTAATACAACAAATAATCTACAGCAAACTCGAGAAAATTCTGCATTTAATTCTAAAACAATCGATTCCGCGGCTCATGTGCCATTTTGGAATGTTGATCAATCCTCCCAATCGCAAGTGTTAAGCGCAGCATCCAGTCCGCCAGCATATACAGCGACAAATCAACCAGCATATACTGAGACCAGTCAATCGCCATATACCGCTCCTATCCAACAATTAACGCCAGTATTTTATAATCCTGCCCAATTTGCGAATGAACAGTCTAAGCAAGTAATTTTTACACATACATACGATCAATATTCTTCTCAACAACAATCATATCAAAACTCAACATTTTACGGAAGCAACAGTGAACTACAGCAGTCCTACGCTGCTACTGAAAATAGTATCGCATATCCTTCACCGACTGTCTTGATGACAGTAGTACCTGAACCGACAGGATCAGCAACACTTAGTCCTATTCAAATGTCGATCAATTCACCGACTAATCGCACCACACCAGATGCCGTACCACCCAGTTTTCAAAATTGGGTAAAAAGATTTTATGCAAATTATTTTTTTATTTTATTAGGGACAAAAATAT